TGCTCAGTGTTGACCCAGCATGCTCAGTGTGACAGGGCCCCAGTGTGACCCAGCATGCTCAGTGTGACAGGGCCCCGGCGTAACCTGGCGTGCTTAGTGTGATAGGGCCCCACTGTGCTCAGTGTGACAGTGCCCCAGTGTAACCCGATATACTTAGTGTGACAGGGCCCTGGCATGACCCAGCATGCTCAGTGTGATAGGGCCCCAGTGTGACCCGATGTGCTCAATGTGACAGGGCCCCAATGTGACCTGATGTGCTCATTGTGACAGGGCCCCAATGTGCTAAGTGTGACCCAATGTGCTCAGTGTGACAGGGCCCCAGTGTGACCCAATGTACTCAGTGTGACAGGGCTCCAGTGTGACCCAATGTGCTCATTGTGACAGGGCCCCAGTGTGACCCAGCATGCTCAGTGTGACAGGGCTCCAGTGTGACCCGATGTGCTCAGTGTGACAGGGCCCCAGTGTGACCCAGCATTCTCAGTGTGATAGGGCCCCGCCGTGCTCAGTGTGACGGGGCCCCAGCATGACCCAATATGCTCAGCATGATAGTGACCCAGTATTCTCAGCATGACAGGGCCCTGGTGTGCTCAGCTTGGCAGGGCCCCAGCGTGACCTGATGTGTTGAGCACGGCATAACCTGGTCTGTCCTGCCATGCTAAGCACATGTCTTCGCCCTCAGGTGGTGCAATACATCGGGGAAATCTGCCGGTACTTGCTGGCGCAGCCAGTGCGGCCCTGCGAGAAACAGCACGGTGTGCGCCTAGCGGTGGGCAATGGGCTGCGGCCTAGCGTGTGGGAGGCCTTCACCACGCGCTTCTGTGTCCCCCACATCGGCGAGTTCTACGGCGCTACTGAGTGCAACTGCAGCATCGCCAACATGGACGGCAAGGTCAGGGGGCATGTGGGCACGCTCTCTGTGGCTGTCCTCTGGGTGGCACTCTCCTGATCACCGCAGGCTTCGGCCCCTTTCTGTCTTAGGTAGGAGCATGTGGATTCAACAGCCGCATCCTGCCCAACGTGTACCCCATCCGGCTGGTGAAGGTGGACGAGGCAAGCATGGAGCTGATTCGGGACCGGCGCGGCCTCTGCGTGCCCTGCCGCCCAGGTGAGGAGCCCCACCCAGCCACCCACCCCACATTGCCGGCCTCATCTTACCGGCTTGCTGCCGGTGTAGCGGTACGCTCACGTCGGCACCCCCCCCACAGGTGAACCGGGGCTGTTGGTGGGCAGGATCTGCCAGGAGGACCCCCTACGGCGCTTCGACGGCTATGCCAGTCAGGAGGCTACCAAGAAGAAGATTGCACACAACGTCTTTCAGAAGGGCGACTCTGCCTACCTCTCTGGTTCGTGACCAAGCCCCCATTGCTGTTGCGTTTATGCTGTCTAACGCGCCTCAGCAGTGAGGATGCGCCATTCCCCTGCTGACTCTTGCCGCCCGATAGGAGACGTCCTTGTCATGGACGAGCTGGGCTACATGTACTTCCGTGACCGGAGCGGGGACACCTTCCGCTGGAAGGGCGAGAATGTTTCCACAACGGAGGTGGAAGGCACCCTGAGCAGCCTGCTAGGCCAGGCGGATGTGGCTGTCTATGGGGTCAATGTACCAGGTGAGCCCCTTTCTGGAATATTTTAAGTCTTGCTCACGCATCGGCAGTCTGCCGGTGCTTTTGTGTCTCTGACTGTATACTTTTCCTGAGGTGCCCACCAACAGCCCCCCTACCTCTGCAGGTGTGGAGGGGAGGGCGGGCATGGCAGCCATCACCGATGGCTCAGGCCGCTTTGACTGTGAGACTTTCCTGCGAGAGGTGCAGGGGGCACTGCCCCCTTATGCCCGACCCGTCTTTCTGCGCATCTCCACCCACATGGACACCACAGGTGAGCTGCCGCCATAGGATGGCTGCTGCGTGTTTGCATGAAGTTCTCACACCTGTTCTTTCATGTGGTTTAACCCCGACCAGGAACGTTCAAAATCCAGAAGACGCGACTACAGAGGGAAGGATTTGACCCACGGCAATCCTCTGACCACATCTACTTCCTGAACTCCCGTGCGGGGCGGTACGAACCCATCACCACCGAGCTGTACGGCTGCATCATAGCTGGGGCGGTGCCTTTATGATGTGGGCCTCCCATCCAGTTACTCATCAGCAGCCCTGGAATCATGGGATTGATTTGCACAGCGGGGCTATGGAGTACTAGAGGAGCTTAGTACTAATAGTACTGTTAGAGCGATTAATACAACCTTAAAGATTAGCAGTGTTGTAATTTCTAATATGAACGTGATTGGGTAAGGAGGTCAACTGTGATAGTCAGCGGTGGGGACAGTACACGGTTTCGGAGGGAGGCGTGTCATGCAATGGGACCTCAGTTACCGCAAAGGAGCAAAGCTGGGGCGGCCAGTCGGGCGCGAGCTCCACCTGCTGCAGAATCACATGACCTGTTTTGTGTTTAAGGCAGTATCTGCAGCCCAGCCTGCCATGTGTTTTTCCTACTGGAGGCATTTCACTTTACACCCCCCCCCCACCCATTGAGTCAGTTTAATGCATTGTCATGGTATTTGCAAACAAACGCATTTTGCCGAGCCGGTCAGGACTTTATTTCACTTCAGATTGTGAACCCCCTCCCCACACTGTCACTCAAACTGCAGTGTGCCAGACAAAGATTTTGAACTGCAACTCAACAGGGTAAAAACAAAGATAAAGTTCAGACTGCTCCTGCAGCTGCCTGTGCTTCGGTCGCTGTGGGTTGCAGGCTGTTGGCCATATTTGGCGGCTCCCTGCAGTGCCTGCATGGTGCTGAGCTCCCACAGGTGGCACCGTGACTCCCAGAACCCTGTGTCACCTTCATGATTTCCTGCTCTAAACTGATGGTTCTGTCAGATGGTACCATACCAAGCACCACACATTGTAGAAATTGGTGTCTCATACTGAACCTAGTGCCTTTACTGCACCAGGAAGTGCCTAGTATAAGAGGTAACATGACTGCAAAGTATGGTTTTAAGTAAATGTGCTGTACTGATTTGTGGTTCTTGTGTGCACAGATCCCTTGCTGAGATCTGTTGCAATGATGTGAAAAACACAGCTGTCTGTAGCATGGAGGTGATGGACATTTAGAAGGTGTGAGTTTCTGGTTGTGAGATTTTGGGGCTGTTCTTTCCATGGATCCCCCATGCTGTGTGTAGAAAGATCGTTTTTTTGGCAGCAATGCGTAGACATTTAAATGGATGTGGAGTGAATCTCATTCTCTTAGTGAATGTTAACAACCTACTCTGTTTTGGGAGGTCGGGAGATGGGCCCTGATAGGTGGTGGATTATGGAATTTGCCAAAAAAATCTTTTCTTGCAAGGGTCATTAAAATCTATACTATTCTTTAATAGCAGGACCATGTTTGATCCTTATCCACCCCGGGGTCAGTCCTCCAATCCATATCCTGGCAAGGACACTGCGTCACAGGTGCCGTCTGATGGACACTGCATCACTGCGTCGCAGGTGCTGTCTGAGGGACACTGCATCACTGAGTATCAGTCTTTATGTATCACATGCTACAGCACATATATCACCGTCTGCATGAGGCCACCATGCCCCTGTATATCTGCAGCATGTATTCAGAACAGTAATGTGAGATATTGGGGGTACACGTCCCCCTGGATCCTACACCCCTGAGTATCAGTCTTTATGTATCATATGCTATAGCACATATATCACCGTCTGCATGAGGCCACCATGCCCCTGTATATCTGCAGCATGTATTCAGAACAGTAATATGAGATATAGGGGGTACACGTCCCCCTGGATCCTACACCCCTGAGTATCAGTCTTTATGTATCACATGCTACAGCACATAGACCACCCTCTGCCTGAAGCCGACATAACAATGTTGTGAAGATGAGTGTGTGAAATTCTGATTGTGTTTTCTCTGTTTCTTTCTTTTGCTTTGCTTTTTGTGATTTTGGATTCTTTGGGACTTTTTGAAGTTAATTTTCAGGGTTTTCCCTTCAAACCCTGATTTTGATGATGTATTCAGCTGAATACACTGTGGAATATGATCTCCCGAACCTGCAGGCCACTCACAGGAGCAGTGAAAATAATAAAAGACTTTGCCCACCTCAACCATGACCAGCTGCTGAGGCCAGGGAGTGGCTACCACAGATTGAAGACCACAAGCAGGAGAGTGAGGAAAAGCCCCTGCCCTCAGGCCGCTCGTATCCTGACACTCTATAGCTAACAAGTCACTTCATGACACTGAACATGACCTTCACTCTCGCTGTGCAAACGCAACTGCATTGCAATGGTGTTAACCTCAAATGGTGCATTATATTTAAAACTGCATACCTGTATACAAAGAAAAAGGGAAATCGAAATTAAATAATATAAATATCAGCACTGTAGAACTACCAAATCCAAGCAATTAATACAATTTACAGGCAATATAAAATATAAGTAACATCAAGGTACAAAAATTATCAGCAGCAGTAGTGCAGTATGGGCTGAGCAGACAGATGAGCAAAAAAGCATCATCAGGAGTAGTACAGTAAGCGCTCGGTAGAGAGATATGAAATTAAAGTGTATTAGTGGTGTTGAATGACTTGCATCAGGCCAGTTCAGGTCAGGTTGGGGATCATGTGCTGGTACAGCACGTTGTCACACCCTCATATGACGAATCATCTCAGGATCCTGGTTGGTGCTCCCCTAGACCAACACTGCGAAACAGGGAGCCCAAGGACTCTAAAAACTTGGACCTTCATCCTTTTACAAAGATATCAGGAGCACCACACACCCCTTTCCAGCCACCTCATAAACCCCCATGCTATCCCAATTTGTCTACTAACTTCATAGAAAGAGTCAGAGACATGAGTGTCACTGATGAGGTACGTGAACCACTCAATGTGGTCGACATTCTCTCCGCAGACAGATACACTGCTGATGGCTGTGCCCAAGACATCATTAAAGGCCTGGATCTTGGCTTTCATCCAGGACACTTACAAGCCCAGACATTCAGACTCCTCGCTCAGTAGGAGCCTCCATTGACTCACAGCAACAGATGTGCTACTACCACTGGACTTCATGACCCTGCCCAACACCAAGTCCATGTAAGCTTTGAACAGAGTAAGAGCTAGAACACACCCCTCACAAATCCCAGCATCCACTGGGAACAACGCAAAGGTTCTGCTGCTACTCTGCAAAGCACTCAGTTCCAGTGTACAGGCAGGCCATGATGTTCCAACCAAGGCAGTATCCCGCAAAGTCTCAGGATGACTCAAACATTCAATCAACAAAGGCTGCAAAGAAACTCTGCTGATATCCGCATTTCTGCTTGATGAGAACCCTCAGTGCCAAGATGCGGTCGATGGTAGACTTCTTAGGTATAAAACCAGACTGCTGCAGTTGTTGGGAGGCAAGTAAGTGATTACGGATCTTATTGAGGTTGATTCTAGCAAGTCGGCATTGAGAGCAGTGTTATACCCCTGGAGTTCCCACAATCCAGGCGATCACCCTTCCCTTCCCAGATAGGGACTAGAAGTCCCATTTTCCAATCAGTTGGGATGATGCCTGACTCCCAAATGGAAGCAAAGATTTCCTGCAATGCCAGGAGGACAGCCTTACCACCAGCCTGGAGAAGTTCACCCCAGATACAACAGATCTCTGCAGCCTTCCGTACCCTAAGCTGTTTTACCACTTGTGAAATTGTTAGTCATCAATGAAGTTCTGCGATGATGTGTGGGGCTGGGGAGAAACTGCCTCTAATGACGTGAAATTCTGAACAGGCTGCAGCCTGATAGACCTTAAAACTGGAAACATCATTCAGGTTCAGGGTGGCTGTGATCAAAGCTACATTTCCTCTTTATTGAAGCACAGTACTTCGGTTAACGGAACTGCTTTTAGGTCTGGGCAAGCAGTGATTTTTAGTAGCTTGTTTCTTTGTTAAAACAGGAATTGTAAAATATACAATTTTATTACTATATGTTCTGTACATACAGGTATATTCCTTTCACAACGTCATTACATTATAGAAAGCTGTTTAGAGGAACTTCAGAGCGACATGTAAATAGCAAAAAAAACCTTATGATGCTTTATGAATGAAAGCAGATTAATCATAGAACCATAATAAAAGAACCATAATAAAATTTACCTTAGACTGATTTTCAGCAACAAATATATCAACATTCCCATGTCATGGCAGAACATTTTCTCAAAAAAAAGAACGTGATGGTAACAAGTGGCTGAATTAAGGATAGGCCACAAATGTAAGTTCAGACTGCTGCAGAATAAGGGATATACCACATTATTTTAATGTTATTCTCTTGTCACTGTAGAAGGCCTTTCGGTAACAATACTTAAAGCACTCATGCATAATGCATTATAATTCATTTATAAAGTGTTATATACATGGCTATAACTATTTATAAAAAGGCATAACATATTTCAGCCATATTTATAATGCATTATAATGGCTGATACTGATCATTATAATGCATTATGAAGGTATCTATAGTGCATTATAGATGAGTTTCATAGAGCATTCATAATGCATAATAATCAGGGCTATAATGTATGCCTTTTTATAAATAGTTATAACTGTGTTTATGATACTTTATGAATGTATTATGAAGGTATATACAATTCATTATCATTCGCCTCAGCACTACCCAGTGCTCCCACAGCAGGCAGTGCGGATGCTGTCGAACACGGCCATGTAAAGGATGGGGTGAATGCACATGCTGAGGGTCACCAGCCCCTTGGTCACTTGGTAAGCCTTATAGACCCAAACTTTGGTCACGTTTATATCATGCATCCTCTGGTGGAGGTGCCAGTTGCGGAAGATGTGGTAGGGTATTACAGACACGGCATAGAGGAGCAGCACCGAGACCACCAATAACGCCACCTTCCTCTTCTCGAGCGCTGTAATATTCTGATTTCTCCACACCACCCACATGATGGCGCCATAAGACACCAGGGTGACTACAAAGGGCAGCAATCCTCCAAATACGGCCAGGAAGATGCTGTATGTGAAATGAGCTCTCTGGTCCTCCACAAAGCAGTAGGAGACACATTCTGTGGTGTTGAACTTTTTGCATGTGTGAGCAAAGCGGAGGACAGGACAGGACATGAGTGCCACCACTACCCACGCCAGCAGACTGGTGACTTTGGCGTGGTGGGGTCGCACGTGGCGGTGGGCAAAAAAGGGGTGAACGATGCCCAGGTAACGGTTGAGGCTGATGCAGGTGATGAAGAAGATGCTTCCGTACAGGTTACAGGTGAAGAGAAAGCGCTCAGTCTTACAGGCAGCTGTGCCAAAAGTCCAGTCCTTGTTCCTCATGTAGTAGATAAGCAGCATGGGCAGTGTGAAGATGTAGAGCAGGTCACTGATGGCCAGGTTGCAGGAGAAGACCACGCCTGAGTGCCAGTCCCGACGCTCTCGCGTCACCATCATCCACAGGGCAAAAGCATTCCCAAGCAAGCCAGTGCAGAACTCCAGTCCAAAAACTGGGGGCAAGAATTTTAACTGGAACTCTTCATTATGGTTTATTGTGTTGTTCATTCTCAGTGGGTCTCCAGCAGTACAGTTCTGACAAGAAACACGGTATCACACACTCAGGGTCAAATAGCTGTGCTGTGTCTATGAGTATACAGTGTACAGCTCATTCAGACAGTCCCTCATCACATCCTTGTCTCTGGCAAACATCCTACAGTTACATCTAAGGAGTTCCTTCAGATTAACTCAAATAGCACCTGTGTACAATACAATATACTATACATACAATTACTCCATATTGGCTCCTGCAGACATTCACTTCTCAAACAGCAAACGAAATGGCAGCTTCCTCAACTGCCAAATACAAGTGAAAATCAGCAGAAGGACTCACTCAGAATTATGACGCAGTTTGATGCCGTTTATACCCACTTTGTAAAGATGTGAAGTCGGGCCCGAGTCGTGAGCTGCAAAGAAGCAAAGGACTAACTAAGGAGGAGCTGCAGGCTGGGAGGTATTAAGGTTGTGGAAACGAAGACACTGGTCTTTCCTCTGCATGATCTGGGTGGGACAGGATGTCAGTCAGACGGCATTACATGGTAGCAGCCTAGCTGGTGCATTTAACATTCAGCTGCATTTTTTTTTAAATGACACATTTTGCAAGTGGTTTCACTGAGTGTGAACCATGTGACAGAAACACAGAGAATGTGTGCCATAGTCACAGCATTTTAAACATTTTTGAATAGAATTATCAATCAGAATTTACAGTCAATAACATTGATATTTCCAAACTTCAAAGAGCAGCTCCTTTGTGATAGACAACAATATAAAGGCATATAGATACATCCCTAAGCATTTATGAGCAGACAGAATACTCGCTGATCGTGGTTTTATTTTAAAGCCACTTTCAGAGTCTTAGTTCCTTCTTTGACTTCCTTAGTTGCAGACTGAATTCTAAGAGCAAGGGGCTGGCAGACCAGATAACTTAAAGGAAGTTAACATTTGCTGCTCTGTCTAGCATGGCATTGTGACCATAAGCAACAAAATTACTAACTTTATTGTGAACTTACCAACATGGAGTCATAGGCCTCACAAATCACCCAGGTGTCACCTCTTAGTCCGTCCAAAGCTTTCCTGGAAGTTCTGCAATATGGTCTGTTATTCCGGGTCAGAACCTGATCTGACAGAACGGACCTTGACTGCTGCTCACACCTTTACCTGAGCTCACTGCACATCAGTTTGAAGCACAAGCATTGTGGAGAAACTGAGCCAACACACCTGATGAGTTTTCAAGCTTCACATTGTTATTTGTCACATACACAATCACACACTGTACTACAGTGTAGTGAAATTCTTCCTGGATTGTGCTGAAGGAAGTATGCGATACAGAGGAAAACAAAACTATAAAAGAGAAGAATGAAAATACCAGTCACGGTAACTGCACAACAGACAAAAATATAGGCCAGTATATCAACAGTAGTTACATATTGTGCAGTTACAATATATTAAGATTAATTCGATTGTTAAAATTAAGATAAACTATCAATTGAACAGTGGGCTCAAATCAAAATTTTGAGTAAAGAAGGGTTCTCTCATCATCAAATAGCCAGAAAGCTGAATGTTTCTAAGCATGGAGTGACCTACAGTTTACAGAAAAAAAGTGTGACATGAAGCAACAGTGGCCGGAAACAGTCTGGGGCAAGAAAAGTGACAATAAAGGCTGAAGATCAACACTTAGTTGTGATGTGCAAAAGAAATTGGAAGATGACTGCAGAGGTCTGAGGGCTGTGATTAATGTGAACAGAGGGAAGCCGGTATCTCTTAGTACAGTCAAGTAAAGACTGAGAGCAGCTGGACTGCATGGTCGAGTTGCTGCCAGAAAACCTTTACTTTGTGAAAAAGTGACTATTATAGGCTAAACAACACAAACACTGGAGTATTCAGGACTGGGAGCATGTGCACAGACGAAAGTCCATCTGTGGGACAAGTCAGACCAACAAGTTTAAAATGAGTGTTGAGCAAATGAGACAGAACTGTTTGCATTCTTGAAAAGGTGCTGAGAGGGTTTGGACACAAGTTATTTCCAAAAATTGCTCAAAATGATGCTGTGAATCAGTGCCGCTGTGATAAAGGCAAGGGGTGTTTATTTTGATGAAACTCACACTTAGGCATTCACATTCATTAAGATGCACTTACAATGCACAGAATATTGTAAATATTTATATTTTCTTGTAATAGAAGTTTGAAAAAGCAGTCTATAGATCATTTTTTTAATCAGAGGGTGGGCTCAAACTCCTGGCCTGTAGGGTAGGTGCTTACTAGGGGTGTGCAAAGCAGCCGGTATTTGTATCTGTATTTGTATTTGTTGAGGGGGGAAAAGTATTTGTATTTGTATTCGTATTCGAGTAAAATTCAAAATAGGCGTAAAAATCCAGTTTTTTGGCGTTGCACTTCTAATTTACGTTATAGTGTAAGTATTCTTTAATTATATCCATTATAATAATTATGGATATGCAGTAGACAGAGTAACTTAAACGTACCATATAACTCCTACAAGTGCATACAATTCGACACATCTACACAAGCAT